TATTTGACGTGCCCACAGTTCAAACCGAGATAGTGCCAGCCCCTAAATTGTTTGCAGACGTCTTGCAGAGGCAATGGAAGAACCCTAGCACGGGGCCAATCCCCAACAGCCTAGACAGACGCTTATTTAATCTGGCAGAGGAGTATGCTTCTCTTTTGCAGATCCCCTCAGTGGACACACCGGTGGTGGCTTTGACCTCGTCCTCACCCGCCTCGGGCCCGGCTGAGGAATCCCTACGTCCGGAGGAGAGAAGAGCGGAACGCACCCTCATCAAAGGTCATCAGGCGGCGGCCTGGTCCGTGCAGGCCTCATCTGCCGCATCGTTTTTTAACCGGGCGTCGATCCTCTGGCTGAAGCAGTTGCAGAGTCGTATTCCTCCTTCTGAGGTGAGAACACTACAAGACATTAACAAAATACTGGCAGCGGTAGAGTACTCGGCGGACGCCACTCTCTCTGCAGCCAGGTTTTCGGCCAAAGCAATTGGTTCCGCAGTCACTTCTAGGCGCTTACTTTGGCTGAAATATTGGCAAGCCGACGTTCGTAGTAAGTGGCGCTTAGCGTCTTCACCGTACTCGAGTGACAAACTTTTTGGGCCTGCTCTTGAGCCTCTCTTAATTGAGACCAGAGATCACAAGAAGTTTTTGCCAGCGGTATCCCGCAGGTCAGATGGGCGTTCGTCGTCTTCCTTTCGACGGCAGTCCTTTCGGGGCCCTGACTCCGGCTACTTGCAGCAGCGATCCCACCGACCCTTCCAACAACGTGGGAACCTTCAACACTATAATCAGGTCAGACAGGGCCCTCGATACCCCCCTAGCAGAGGCCAAAGAGGTGGCAGGGGCCGTCCCTTTAGACGGTCTCGTTAGGAGGCCTTCCTCAGAACAACTTGGGGGTCGTCTGACCCTTTTCTCCCAGGCTTGGGAGGATACGGTTCCTGATGAGTGGGTTAGACGGACCATTAAATTTGGTCTTTCCCTGGAATTTTCATCTAGTCCCCCTATTAGGTTTATTCGTTGCCCAGTTTCCCTCAATGCTACTAAGAGATCACTAGTGGAGAAGGCTATCCATCACTTGCTAGCTATAAGTGCCATCGAACCGGTGTTCCCCTCCGAATTTGGCCAAGGTTTTTACTCTAGACTCTTTTTAGTACAAAAGTCTTCCGGGGACTGGCGCCCTATCCTTGATTTGAAGTCCTTGAACCGGCACATAACTTATCGCCGGTTCAAGATGCATTCCTTACAAACAATTTTACTTTGCATTAGGGAAGGGGATTTTTTATCATCTGTGGATTTAACTGAAGCCTACCTCCACGTTCCCATCCTTCCCGAACACCGTAAGTTTCTCAGATTTTGTTATAACAACAACCATTACCAGTACCGGGCCCTTCCCTTTGGTTTGTCCTCGGCCCCTAGGGCCTTTACCAAAATAATGGCTGCCCTCATGGGTTATGTCGCCACACTCCCAATTAGGGTGTCCTTTTATCTGGATGATGTTTTGATCTTGTCAAGGTCTTGGCAGCAAGCGCAGGCTGACCTGACTAGGACCCTTCAGATTCTCCAGGATCATGGGTTCTCAGTCAATTTGGCTAAGAGCCACTTAACCCCTTCTAATCGAATTCTTCACCTGGGAGCAGTAATTGATTCCTTGTCCTCGGAGGTGTTCCTGTCTCCGGACCGGGTAAACAGCCTCAGAGAGTTAGCTGGCCGGGTGCAGAATCAGGGGTCTTCTTCGCTGCTAGCTTTGTCACGTCTTCTTGGCAAGATGGTGTCTACCTTTGGGATAGTCCCATGGGCCCGTTTACACAGTAGGGACTTACAGTGGATGCTGCTGCCCTTTCAACGTTCCCACAGGGACACCTCATCCACAAGACTGGTCCTTCCTCCGTCTGTGATCCGGTCTCTGTCCTGGTGGACATCGGATGCCCTGTTAAAGGGGACCAGGTTTCGAGAGCCGTGCCGACTGCAGCTTACAACGGATGCCAGCTTGTCGGGCTGGGGAGCTCATCTGGGTCCCCACCTAGCTCAGGGCCTATGGTCAGCACACGAGAAACGGATGAACATCAATGTGCTAGAACTGCGGGCCATCTTCCTCGCCCTAAAGGCTTTCGAGCCTCAGGTGCTGCACCGAGATGTCTTAATTCTGACCGACAATGTCACAGCCAAAGCGCATGTGAACCGCCTCGGGGGGACTCGTTCCAGAGCTCTGATGAGGGAAGCGCGGCGTTTGGGTCTCTGGGCAGAGGACCACTTGGCATCGATTCAAGCAACTCACATCTCCGGAGTTCTAAATCGCACGGCCGACTCTCTCAGTCGGTCCCCGGTCGACGACGCAGAGTGGTCCATTTCTCCTCGCCTCTTCCAGGAGGTGGTTCGCCGCTTTGGGAGTCCGACAGTGGATCTATTCGCCAGTGCGTCCAACCACCAGCTACCACGATTCTTCACCAGATTCCCTTGTCCCGGGGCAGAGGCGGTGGACGCTCTCCGGAGTCATTGGCCGACCAATCAGCTCCTGTATGCCTTCCCACCGGTCAACTTGCTGTCCAGAGTGGTACGGAAATTATTACAGGAGCAAGCGGAGTTAATCCTCATCGCTCCAGCCTGGAACCGACGTCCTTGGTTCGCAGACCTCAGGTCCCTGTCGGTAATGCCCCCTTGGCGGATACCGGGAGACTGGATGACCCTCACCCAGGGCCAACTGCAGCACCCGGATCCTCTCTGGTTCCAGTTCACCGCGTGGCGATTGAGCGGGAAGTGTTGAGTAAGCTTCCCCTCTCGGCAGGCGCCATTTCGACTATTCAAGCCTCTCGACGGGCTTCAACCACAAGGATTTATGACGCTACCTGGCGAGCCTTCTGGCTTTGGTGTAAGGCTCGACTTGTCTCTCCTACTTCGGCCTCGGTTCCTCTTGTCATCGAATTCCTGCAGGAAGGGTTTGTCTCTGGCCTCTCGCCTAACACACTTCGCCGCCAGGTGGCTGCCCTTTCCACGATCTTATCCGGCTCCTCAACGGACCCTATCTCACAGAATCCTTTGATCCGGCAGTTCCTGCGCGGCGCTACCAATATCCGTCCGCCTGCAGTCCATCGCTACCCTTCTTGGGACTTACCTAAGGTTCTCCGGGCTCTAACTGCTCCCCCCTTCAAACCCTTGAGAGATGTTTCCTTAAGATACCTATCCTTTAAGGTGGCTTTCCTTGTGGCGGTGACTTCGGCTCGGCGGATTTCTGAGATGGCGGCCCTGTCCATTCGTAAGGAACTCTGTATCTTCCACCAGGATCGGGTGGTACTGAGATTGGATCCTTCTTTCATCCCGAAAGTGAATACGATTTTCCACCGGGCCCAGGAAGTAGTACTTCCTAACTTTTGTCCTAATCCTCAACATTCTCTTGAACGGCGATGGCATACCCTCGACGTCCGTCGGGCTGTAAAGATCTATATTTCCCGCACGGCTACCTTACGCCGTTCGGACGCCCTCTTCGTATCCTTTTTACCAGCTTCTCTGGGATCGAAGGTTTCTTCTACCACCTTGGGGCGCTGGATTCGGGCTTGCATTTCGGCGGCGTATGAAGCTTCTGCGCTTCCAGTTCCTCGCAACATAACAGCTCATTCGACGAGAAGCGCCGCCACTTCAGCAGCGTGGTCCACCCGGGCCTCCATCGGCGAGATTTGTCGGGCGGCGGCCTGGGCATCGCCTTCTCCCTTTGTCCGCCACTATCGCTTGGACAAGTATGCGTCTTCGGATGCGGCCTTTGGCCGGAGAGTCCTGCAAGGGGTCCACTCGGCTTCCTGATTTCGGGACCGGCCTTCTCCCTCCCGTCTGGACACTTGGCTCTGGTATGTCCCATCCTGACTGCCGTGCCCGACTGGAGGAGAATGGGCGTTGGTTCTTACCTGACACGCCTCTTCTCTGACTGTCGGGCACGGCAGTCAGCCCCACCCTTATTGTGGAGGCCGATCCCGTTACGACCTCACCTGGGAGGGGGCGGGTTCTTCTAATTCTCTTTGTTCTCTATCCCTAGACACGTCTTACTGCTGATACTCCCTCGTCTCAAACTGACAGCCACGGTCAGGGGAGGGACTTCCTGCCTTTTTCAGCAGACCCGGTCCAATGACGACTCAACCAGGTCTCCACCCATCCTGACTGCCGTGCCCGACAGTCAGAGAAGAGGCGTGTCAGGTAAGAACCAACGCCCAGTTTGTTTGTTTTTATGCTGTCCACCTCATTATTCAAAGTGACATAGAAGGAAATTAAGCACCATCTCCATATCTTTATTCCCTCCCTTTTTTTTTTAATAATTATATAAATTTATGGTTAGAATAATATCAGAAAAATATATATTATAATCTTCCATTTGTTAATTTTGGGAACTCCCTTTAAAAGTTCCTGCTTGTAAGAAAATTATTGTGGGTGATTTATTATGCTGTGATGTTTTATAAGCAAGTGGACAGTGCTTATTCTCCTGTATGTGGTTCTTTATCTTTCCTCCATTTGAGGGTAATATTTTCTCTTTGCCAAAAATATGTGCCTGAACTGAACTATTAAAAGGAAGTAAGATAATAATCACACAATTTAGGTCAAAATTATTGACAGGTACAATTTTATGATATAAAGTTTATATCATTGTTTATAAAGTGAAAAATAGAGATCCTTATCTAATAGGTTTCTTCTTCTGAATGTTTATCAAAGATATTTCTGTTTCTAGCAGTGAATTTTGTGTGTGCTTTTGAAAAAGTTGACAATGTTGGCAGTCAGATGAAATATCTACAGCATCACTTTCTCCTGGAAACCAAAAACCATGTTGTTTTTTAGGCCTGAAGAAATAAATCTTAAGGTCTGATCTATGCATAAATCCGAATATAGAGTGTGAAAGACTGATGCAATAATCTGCAGACAAATAGCCAACTTGTTCCTATAATACTCCCTCCAATGTTATACATTATTACATATGATCTCCCTGTCTCTCTCTCTCAATACTGCATTTTAATTCACCATGCTTATTTTCAGACATTAACATGGCAGGAGAGCCAAAACCATACAGACCTAAACTGGGAACCAAGCGACCACTTTCTGCTCTCTACAGGTAAGCTGTCTGATTGATTAAGGAATCTATGAAGTGTTTTTGAAGTTTTTAGTGAATGTTACAGGTACTATTTGCTTAAAGCTCCCAGGGTTACTGAGTCTCAGAAACAATTTATTTCAATGCAATTTTACATTAAAAAAAGTTCCACAGTTTAGAACAATATACAAAGAAGACCTCTGCTGACCAATGGGCCTCTGTGATCAGGGGTATTTCAAAAGAGTCTTCTGGGCAGCTATTCTATTAAACTTTCAGGAGTGCATCTGTTAGCTTATAACACAATAAACATCCTAGCATCAGATCATTTCATCAACTCTCACATGAGTTTGTATTCTAAATAAACCCTTCCATCTTTTGCAATAAAACAATAATGAAGCTGCTTCAGCAGATGCTCACCATGTCATCCCAGACACATTGAATATCTGGATCCATTTCCATCTGATTTACAGATTGGATTTGGCACTGATAATTAAGACAAACTAATTCATCCAGTGGAGGGGGAAAAATAAAATAAGGTATTTGTATAATTCTCCTGATATATATTTTTTCAATATAGTCTTCTCATATGCCCTAAATAACTACAGGGATGCTGGCCTTATAATCATGCTTATTATGCTTATATTATGCTTATAATAATTATGCTTATAATTATTATTGACATGTCTATTAAATCAGTTATTATTGTTCCAAACGGAAAGTATGGCAGAGGATTGATTGATAAAGATGATCCATTACATAGATAAAGGAGAGTAGAACAAAACAGGGAAAGAGACTGATGGTTAAATTCCAGCTCACCCAGTTTCTGCCCAATTCTGCTGGGCTGCACCCTGAGATGCTACCAGAGCCCTGCAAGATCAGGTCTGAAGATGGTTAATTGAAAAAGTCAGAGGTCAGATCTGAATCGAGCCAAGCTAAAACAGCAAATGAACATGTTTCTCTCCTCCAGAAAAGGAGAGGCAAATGTGTTTCGAGGCCAGAAGCAATTATAGATCAGGTTCCAAAAGAAACAGCAAAAGAAACCTGAAGCAGGCTCTAGCAATTAATGATTTAGTGCAGTTTCTCAATCCAATTGTAATGCTTACTGGGGAATTCTGGGAGTTGAAGTTGACAGAGTTTAAAGTTGCTGAGGTTGAGAAACACTGGTCTAGATTTAGGGGATGGGTACCAATAGCATGAAACTTATATAGTTTTGGTGTTTATGAAGAATTCTGATAAAGTTGAGTTGCTGAATTAGCATGGATACTACATGCATAAATATCCTAAGAGTATATAATCTTTCAAATACCAATTTGACTTCATTTTGATTTTAGCTTCATAGCACCAAGTTACTAATTTAAAGATCAATTTAAATGAAAGGCCAATAGATAATTGTGTTCGTCTCTTGCCTAAGATTTTTTTTAAATAATTTACTGTATCACCACAAATCTCTTGAAACCATTTACACTGAAAGAGGGTCAAACTGAGGGCAGCCATATTTTGAGCAAATTGAATCTCAGTTCATCAGAATGGATTTTAAATTGTTTTTAATTAGTGTTTTATCCACAGGCCACCATACATAAACACATACCCAGGGAAACACATACCCAGTTGCATTTATTAGCAACCTAGTGAAATCTTACGATTTAAATTCATTACCTATCATTGGTTTGATTATCTTCTGGAACAGCTATGTATTTATATTTCGTTTTCCACCAAAGAGTTCAAGATCTCTCCAACCTCTTTGACCCTCACAATAACCCAAAGAGATAAATTAGAATATTGGACTGTTTCAAAGTATCTTTGAAATTAATGACAAGATCCTGGATTTTCTTGGTCATAGAGAACAAGTCAACAGAAAAGGTTTTTCTTTTCTTTTTTTAAATTTGATTTATATGCCGCCCTTCTCCGGAGACTCAGGGCGGCTTACAATGCGTTAAGCAATAGCCTTCATACTTTTGTATATTTATACAAAGTCAGTTTATTGCCCCCACAAACTGGGTCCTCAATTTACCCATCTTAGAAAGGATGGAAGGCTGAGTCGACCTTGAGCCTGGTGAGAACTGAACTCGCAGTAATTGCAGGCAGCTGGATGTTAAATGCTGCCTTAGGAGGCATTAGCCTCCTATGCCACCCAGGCTCCTTTTTTATTTTATTTTATTTTTTATTTGTACCTTTTTATCTGCTGGTTATTATCTGCTAGCAAGAAGATAGGGATTAAATTGTCATTCTGTGGAAAAAACCAATGTCTTTCAGGGAGGGAGGAAGGGAGGGAGGGAGGGAGGGAGGGAGGGAAGGAAGGAAGGAAGGAAGGAAGGAAGGAAGGAAGGAAGGAAGGAAGGATGGAAGGATGGATTTCACAAGCTGCAGCTAAGATGGCACCATAGACAAGCAAGGGCTAGCAGAGTGTGTTGGAGAAGACCTATCTGCTGATTCAGTAAGCTGATCTGGGAAGTGGCAGATCTAGCAATGGTAATGATTTATCTCTTGTGAGGGAACCAGACACAAGCTGGTCCTTTCAAAATCATGGTTCTGAAATGCAGAATGAATGAGGAAAGGCACTCATGCATTGCAGAATGTTAGCTTGAATTGTTGGGGTACTGAGCCTTTGTGAGACCTTGAATCCTGGAAAATATAAGGTCTTTATCTTGTGTAGCTACAGCATACAATGTAAACCTTGTGCCATGCATTATTTTTTCAGCAAATGTAACTATTTTTGTTATTTTATTTAACAGACTTGAATCAAAAGAACCTTTCCTTTCTGTTGGGTGAGTAAGAACATTTTGGTTTAATTTTAGAAAAAAATAACTGCATAATTATATCTTTCAGTAGCTTTCAGCTACTCAAAAGGAATATTTCATTTACTTTTGGAGATCTTCAGTAATGAATAGAAAAATATAGTATTTGGGGAAGCATATCTTTTTCAGACATTTTCAATCCTTGACTTATGACCTGATGTTTAACAACCTATAAAACACACATATAGCCATTGTAAAACTGTGTGCCCCGTCCACAGTCACATGTCTGCATTTTGGACACTTGGCGATTAACTTGTATTTACGACTGGTTGCAGCATTCTATGGTCATATGACAGCAAATTGCAATTGCTGCAACTGATTCACTTAATGACCACCATAAACAGAGTCATAAAATAGGGTCCAGTCAAGTGCCTTGACTTGTAACAACTATGATTTATGATAAAAATTTCTGTCCCAATTGGAGTCGTATGTCGAGGAATACCTGTCACTACAATATCATTTCCAATTGCTTTCTTGTCTAAAGAATAGACAAGAATCTATCAAAGAATCAACAGAGATCCTGATTATTTATCAGTATTGCTATCACAACTTAAATAACATAAATACCAGATGTCTATGGAGATTCTCAGTCATCCAGGTCATGGTTGTCCCAAAGGTGTTTTTTCAAGAGGCAACTTTTCTTTGAAGTTGTTTTGCTTCTCATTCAAGAAGCTTTTTCAGCTCTGACTGGATGCTGGGGAATGGAAGGATTTATACTCCTTGCAGATACCTCATCATTTGCATTATTTTAGAGAATCGTTGAGGCCACCTGGAGGTTTATCTGTGTCATCAGGGTCAACCTGAGTAGTGCAAATGGGTGTGGAGCCTTCTTGGAACTGTTGAAAGGACTGTGTTGTAGACTGGAGATAGATGATGTCCTCAACTTATTATGATAATTGGGATTTGAATTTCCATCTCTTAGCAGTTGTTAAGTGAGTCATCATGTGACTGCACCTGATTTCACTACCTTTGCTGTGGTTGTTAAGTGAATCTGGCTTTCCCCATTAACTTTGCTTATCAGAAGCTGGCTGGGAAGGTCACAAAAGATAATCAGATGATCTCAGGACACTGCTGCCATCATAAATAAATGCTCATTGTCAAGCACCCAATCACGTGAGGAGGGAGCACTGCACTTGTAAGCGCAAGGGCCGATCTTAAGTCAGTTTTTCAGCACCCTTGTAACTTTGAACAGTCACTAAATGTATGGTCTTAAGTTAAGGCCTACCTGTAGTGGTTTTATATAGATAGTCTATGGCAGGGCTGTCAAACTGCTGGCCCACAGGCCAGATGCATCACGCACTGGCCACACCCATGCCCAGTTTAATGGAGGGTCATGTGACAACGTGCGTTTGACACCCCTGGTCTATGGATATGGAGTATGGATCTTTGTGAACCTGCATTCTCCTCGTCCCTTGAACAGAAGTCCTAAGACATATAACAGCTCTTTCCTTGCAGATGATCCTCTGAACAACAAACATTTCAAAGACAACTTTTCAGTGAAAAAGCTGACCAAAACTCACTAAAAATAATCCTCCAATTTAGTTTTGTAAAAAGCAGATTGTCAAACCTGTTAATGATACAGGAAGTCTGTAATTACCAGCAGAGGTAGAGTGGGTGGTTTTTAGGGTTTTCTTTTACACATATATTTTAACTGCTTCTGATGTAGACCTCAAAATAACTATGCTTAAGAATGAACAAACAACAGTCAGACAGATAAAAATACACTAACAGATGCAGTGGAAAGAAGTTAAATTGAAGTGAGCTAACATACAAGTTAAAAACATTTTCCACCACTTCCAATTTTATTCTTTCCTTTCCTTAACAAGATAATTGTCATCAAATGGACACTTTAACTTTTGGAATGAAATGGTTCTAGAAGAATCTGCAACTTTATACCACTTAATTTTGATTATGTAAATCAGCCTTCTCCAAGTTGACATCTTTACCTTGTGGGTAAAAAAAAAATATCCTGTTAGGATTTGGTTATAAAGTGTACATAGTCAGGATGAGACTAGTCCATTTTGTGTATTTGAAAATCAGTATTGCATTTTGAATGGGTTTTAGCTTTAATCCTAAACCACTAAGAGAATTGAATCTTCATTTTAGAGTAGCCTTTTGTAATCAAGTGCTATCCAGATGTAATGGATTTCAGCTCCCGAAGGCCATGCTAGCTAACTAAGATTTATGGCATTTGAAATTCAACACACCTGGAGGACACAACATTGGAACCAGTGGTGGGATTCAGGTAATTTAACAACCAGTTCTCTGCCCTAATGATATTTTCCAACAACCAGCGTGCCAAACTGTTCAGAAAGTTAACAACCGGTTTTCCCGAAGTGGTGCGAACTGGCTGAATCCCACCACTGGTTGGAACGCTGTAACAGGAAAGAATATGACAAGTTCTCCTGGTCTGGTGCAGAGTGGTTCAGGAATAGAGATGCACTAAATTGCAGATTTTCAGACAGAGCTCAGATTCTGTTGTTTAGGAGTTTCAGCAAATTCATTGTAAAATTTCACATCAGCTTTCCCCCACCCGAGTGTAGACATAGTATAATTTTTTCTTTGATTATGTCAGCGGGAGGGATAATTAATTGTTTTGGGAGAACTGTCCAATATATATCATTTGGAGAAACAGTAATATAACATGTGAGGTTATAGTAGTAATAATGCCATCAATATGAAATAATAATTATACTATGCCAACTCATAGTATCATTGGTGTATTTCTTGGAAAACAGCTGCTACTCTTAAGCACCCTTCATATAATTTTCTTATAAATATGTTCATTTACCTTTTATGTCATTAGGTAGCATCCCTCCAGCTGAGAGGAGACTTAATTTTCCAATTAAGGAAAAATTGGAATTCCAGGAACTGCATCTCCAAGTGATTAAAGTGTCCTACCAAGGATCAAAGGCAATAGCAAAAAGCTAATTGTTTTCAGAAAAAAGTCTTGCTTTCCTATAACATGAAATTCTAAGATCTTAAGTCTCGAAGACCTCAGGGCTTCCCTACTGGTGGCAAAGCCTTTCTGATATCTAGTAACCTCCCATCCTGCCTATGTTTCCCAGAAACCAAATCCTTAAGGCCAATTAGGAGAAGCAAAGAGTGACAAACAAGCTGCCAAACTGTATACTTTACCTCAAGAAGCCTAGGACATGCTGAAAATCCCATTATAGCACATTTTAGGCCTATAAAAATGAAGACGGGGAAAACCTCAAAGACCCAGAGGTCAAGATGATGGAAATCCTGCAGTGCAACCTTTGTCTGAAATCTTTATGCTTTGGAAGAAGAAGAAACTGATTTGATCTAGAACAGGAGTCCCCTATCAGGCTGCGGCATGCAAACAAGCTAAGCCACATCCACAGGATGCAGGCAGCATGCTAAACAATGCCCCCTACAGTCCACGGGAAATCCTCTATCCACGGAATTAGTCCTGGTGCCCAAAAGGTTGGGGGCCTAGAGGAAGGAACTTCTGCAACAGCAGCCTCCATCCTCAAAATCCTAAATTTACTATGGGTGGATGTTCAGACGTTATAACCAAGCATCTTTCACAGATAGGTGCCAGCCTCTTCTCAGTTCTAGTCCCATGGAGTGAGAGAAACTTAGCCCAGCCTTACTCAAGGAGCCAGAACCTAAAGTAAAACAGAAAAAGATGGGATGCCAGGCACATACTTTTTATACCAGGAATAAACAGCTTCATCAATTATTGTAGTCAGTGTTGCACATTTCTATTTTCTCTTTCTGTCAATTGTAACAACTCATGCATTAGACATCCTTAGGCTTTACTGTGGCTTCAGATTCAAACATCCTAGTTATAATCTTGATGCAGTCCATTTTCTCTGAATTATCTTAAAACAGTTTTTATGCCATAGTATGAGAATATTATCTTTTCCCTGCTTGAAATAGAAATGTACAATTCTGCAAAATTCAATATGGAGTAATTGCAGCTCTTCATCATGAGCAAAATAATACAATGAGCAGTACATTGCATGATTGTAGATGAATTAATAATTTTCATGTCTCTGATCCTCATGGAATTCTTTATGTGAATGTTTAATCATGTACAAGAACTAAATAGGGCAAAACAAGTGAGACTTTACTTACATTTGGAAAGAATCATTATGTCTCATTTTATAATATGTCAATTCATTATAACTATTTGCTTCTTGCAGATTAAATGCTGTTTATCATTGGCAGCAAAAACAATCAATATTATATATGAGTGACTTTTAATAAATTCATCATACACACACACACACACACACACACACACACACACACACACACACACACTCTTATGTAAGACTGCATCCAATTAATTTTTGTCCTAAGAGAACATTTTTCATTAGGATGATTTGTGCATCTCTCTATAGTCCTTTTACATGCAGGGTAGGAAATTGGGGACTATCCAGATTGAGAAGGGACTGGAAATGGCACAGGGAAAGAAAGAAAAGAAAAGTTCTACTATATAAAAGGAAGACTGATAGCACATTATTGGATTTCATTTGTTGCATTTCTCCTTTCCTCCATTGCACTCCATGCCAACTGTTTTCTCCCCAATCTAAAGTTATAAAGGTAGAAATCCACCAACATACAGAGCTGGGAGTTACCACTTGGCCAGTTCAAAGTTGAAAAAGCTCAGGAAAGGAACTAGCTAAGTAACAGGAGGTTGCTACACCAGCAAAATCTCTAACTTGCTTCTATCTGCCAACTCCACCTAGAATACCTCACATCCAGCCACTTATGGAAGCACAGATGTAGACACTATCCATTTTTTACAGAAATGTTTATGAATTTTGTTCATAGCTAAGAAAAATAATTCAGAAGAGTTCAGTAAAATATAAAACAACATCTGCTAAGATATACAGCTAAAGGCAGTTTTGTGTATTTATTGATAGAAACCTGTCATCCTAGTGCAACAAAAGAAGTTTGTGCCATGCACTGGTCAACCAGGTCAGGACTAGTTAACA